CTGTGATGAATGCCCTTGTACTGTTCACCATGTAAGAACTTATTCACTATGTAAGAATTCGTTCACCATGTAAGAACTTGTTCGTTATGCTTCAGAAGATTGGAGACTGACGAGAATTAGGCTTGAGATGGATTAATGATTGTGCATTGAGCATTGACTCCCCTATACAGAATTTTATTGTTGTTAACAACCATTTGATCAATAAATGAGAGATGCCCTCTCAAAAAAAAAAAAATTTAACTCAAAATGGAGTAAAGACCTAAGTAATAAGACCTAAAGCTATAAATCTTCTGAAAAAGCTTCATGACAGTTGGCATGGGCAATGATTCTTGGATACATCCAAAGCACAGGCAATGAAAGCAAAATGGACAAATGGGGCTACACTTCAAAATTTCTGTGCATCAAAGGGAACAATCACCAGGGAGAAAAGGCAGTCTGTGGAATGGGAAAAAACATCTGTAAATCACACATCTGATAACGGGTTAATATCCAGACTACATAAGGAACTTCTACAGCTCTACAAGAAAAAACAAATAACTCGATTAAAAAATGGGTGAAGGATTTGAATAGACAATCCTCCACAGAAATTATACAAAAGGCCAACAAGCACATAAAAAAGAGGCTCAATATCACTAATTAAAAGAGAAATGCAAATCACAACTTTTTTGTCCCAGAGGCTGTGGTTTGCCAGCCCCTATCCTGATGATCAGTGAAAGTAGGCTATTAACAAGTGTGGGATTCATTCCATTTGCTGTGCCTAAGGCCTTAATTTCAAAAATAAAGAGAGAAGGACAGGAGGGAAGGAGGAAACCCAGTGCCCCACCTTCTGTGGCTCACTGCCACCTCCACACCTTGCCCGCCTGGGGCAGGGGACACACGTTCTAGGGCAGTGGACACACACTAGGGTCCCAGGAGCAGTGTTCCCAACAGCCTCTTGCTTTACAGGATAAATGCACCCTTTCCACAAGAGTGATCTACCAGGGGAAGTGCGACACTCCCTGATATGCAACTCCAGGCCTGGGTCAGTGCCCAGTGTGGGGAGGACCTTGTAGAATCATTAATGGACACAGGAGTGAGGCCAGTAAAGGCCAAAGACCTACAGAGGCCAGTGGCCTTTGGTCACCACCCAGTAGCCTGTAACAAGTCAAAAATAAACTAGAAGCAATGCACTGAGCAGAGAATGCTTTTTGCCCACCCATACCCATCCTTTCCTCCTTACTAAAAGAATCTCTCTTGCTGAGGCTGGCAGTGAGCCAGCTCAACCCTGCCTTTTCAGCCTCTCTTGCAGATCTGAGTGGCCAATAACAGGCAAACAGAAGTTGCTGGGTGTGGCTTCCAGGAGAGCTGTTCAGAGAGGCGCACTTTGCCTTCCCCCTTCCACCTTCCTGCTATATGAATATGGTAGCTGGAGCGGCATGGAGCAGCAGTGATGTGTGGTGACCACGGAGACTTCAGAATGGAAGCCACACCCTACAGATGGTCCCAATCCAGGAGCCTACCTCTAGTTACTCTGCATGAAAGCAAAGCAAACCTCTAACTGTGTAAATCACTAATATGAGGCTTCTGTGATCAACAGCAAACCTAATCCTGAGAGTCTGTTGGAAAAGCTAGCTCAGAGTCACTTGCCTTCAAAGAATGGAATGGAGTCATTGGAAAAGGTGTCCAAGGCAAGGAGGTCTTTTCCATCTTTGGACCCACTGCGTTTGTGCTTATGTTTTCTCCGAAAGAAGGATCTGCGTGCAGCTGCCGACAGTGTCTTTGCGGCGCTGTTGTCGCCTTTGACTTCCGACATGCTGAGCCTCCTGGAGAATTCTTGGTCCATCCTGCAGTCACAGGGGTCGGTGGTGCTGGCAAGGGCCTTGGGACCATCTCCCGCCCGCCCCAACTCCAGGCTGCTCCAATGGGGCTCTGAAGATCTCCTGGCTCCTCCACCCACCCATGCCACAGAGGACCCCTTGGTGCCACTGCTGTGGGGGCACCACAAACATCAGTGCTGGGGAAGCTCTCAGAGCAGGCCAGTTTCTACACCCAGGTGAGTGCCAACAGGAACTGGTAAGACAGCCTCCACTTGGCGACATTACAAGCTATGCGTCCTGCCATAAAAAGGAATAGAGTCTGATACATGCTTCACAGGGAAGAAACCTGAAAACATGCTAAGTGACAGGAGCCAGTCACAAAGGACCACATGCTTTATGATTCCATTCACATGAAAGTCCAGAACAGAGAAATCTACAGATACAAAAAGTAGGTTTGTGGCTGCCTAGGACTAGGAGGGGAGCAGGGAAGACATAAGGACAAGAGGGGAGGTAAAAGGGGCTTCCTTTTGAGATGATGAAAATGCTCTATAATTGACAGTGGCAATGCACAGCACTGGCTTGTGCTAATTAACACTAGCTCTTTGGACAAGTGATTTTGGCAACAAAACATATAGACCAGAGGCTGAGATGAGCAGCAAAATGTACCCCCCAGTCGCCCAGGACTTGGCCCTCATCCTGTGTGATCTCCCCACGGGTGGCCCGGCCAACCCCCAGGCCCAGCCATGGAGAACACTTACACATATTTGCTGGGAATCTGCCCACGCTGGATCTTCTGGGCGTTCTCATCCAGCTGCCAGGCCATCCAGGACCCAAATGTGCCCTGGGGCAAGGTGTCATCAACATAAAGGATGTCATCTTTTTTAAAACTCAGCTCATGCTCCACCTCTGCCAGCCGATCATACAGGGCCCTGGCCCGGGGCACAGGGGAACAAAGGTCAGGAGGCTGCCACCTGCTCAGGATGAGCCCCACACCTTGGCATCTAGGTTCCAGAACAGCCTCCTCCTGTTCTGAGATTTCCCCAGACTATGATCAGGACCCATCTCTCCCCATCTCCCTCACCTCTGCCAGCCGATCATACAGGGCCCTGGCCCGGGGCACAGGGGAACAAAGGTCAGGAGGCTGCCACCTGCTCAGGATGAGCCCCACACCTTGGCATCTAGGTTCCAGAACAGCCTCCTCCTGTTCTGAGATTTCCCCAGACTATGATCAGGACCCATCTCTCCCCATCTCCCTATCTGACAGCTGCCAAAGGAGGGAGCCTGGGCTTTACATAACTGGACAACGAAGTTGCCTTTGCTCCCCAAGACAGGGAGCTTGTGGGAAACAAGGGCTGCTTCACACCCATCAGACAGAGAACTTCTTGCCAAAGGCCAAAGATCCATCTCCCTTCCAAATGGGTTTTCCCATTTCCCTTCCTCCCCCGAGTCAAGGCAGATAGCTCCTCAAGACTGGACACTCCCCAGGATGGAACATGTCATCTCCTGCCAAGGAGGGGTTCCCAGAGACAGGGACCCATACCTCATGGTGCACAGTTGATCAGTTTTTATTCTTTTTGTGGCCTCAAATCTTAGGGACGTGAAGGAAGCTATGAACACCTCCTAGAAAATACCTGAGGCCTGTCCCCACACCCATGGTACTTTCATACGAACTGCAAGGCACTGAGGCACCTTGGTGACCCCACATACTGCACAGGGATCTGCAGACCTGGGTCAGAGGGACCCCAGGAGAGGAGTGCACCCCACAGGAAAATGGGGCTCTGTAGCCTCAAAACCCCCAAGCCACAAACCCTTACGAGGGAGTTCCCCTGGCCCTGCAAGCCCTTGAGGGCTTTCTAAGTCATAAGCACCACACCATGAGCATATGCTCTGGGGCCCAACTAATGACAATCTTGGCCCACCCAGAGGCAAGAAACAGAGACATCCACAGGGATATTTTCCACCAAAGACCCTCCTCTGGCCCTGAAGCCCTGGAGCCCCTGGCTACCAGTACCTGATGTAGAAGCTGTCACCAGGCAGGCCCTTGACCTTGGTGAACTCCTCGGGACGGTACTGGACCTTCAGGCGGACGCCATCCTTGGGCTTCAGCATTTCCACGTAGACCTCTTCCACCGTCTTGTTGCGTGTGTCCAGACTGCCGTACTGCCAAGGGACAGGGGACAGGGGTCAGAGAGCAAGAGCCAGGAGTGGCCTGGACACCCATGAGGGGTTGTGGGATAAAGTGAAGATTCAGCATCCCCTTAACTGGAAATCCACCTGCCTTCCCTCCAAGGTGGGACCAAGTCCTCTACCCTCGATATCATCTCCCAAAAGAAACTCTCTTGTGTCCCCCAGCACATAAGGGCTACTGGAAACATGGCACCTCATCTTGCTTACACTACTTGCATCTTCCATTACCTAGGGACCATCTTCCCCTTCAAATGGGAGACCCAGGGAGAGGAGATGACATTCCCCATTTAATGAGAGTCCTACTGCTAACAAGTGCAGAGCACCTTCCCTCTGGATGCTGGGGCCCAGCTGCACCCTGCCCACCTCCCTGAGACCTTCCTAGAGGGTCCTGGCAGCACTCAGAGCTGAAGGGTCACCAGGTGAGAAGCTGTGCTTCTCTGCCTCCCATGCCACCTGACACCACGTCAAGGAAGCCTGACGCGCAGACAGAGAGTGGCCTAGCCAGTGGCCCAGTGCTCAGAACTCACCTCGAGGATGAGGTCCCCTGGCACAAGGCCGTCAGGGCCCTTAGCAGCACTGTCCTCCTCTACCTCAGCCACAAACACCCCGTGCAGGTTCCCACCACATAAATGCACTCCAAGCTCCAGCTGGGACTTCTTCATGAAGACAACTCGTGGCTCTGCAGTCTTCTTGTTGGCATCTCCCCCCATCCTTTCGGAAAGGAGAACAAAATTCCTTAGTCATGCAGAAGACGGGAGTAGGGCTTGAAAAGGACTGAACAGTGGCTCATGCCCTAACCATTTTCTGCTTGCTCCATGGAGTCCATGAGGTCTCAGAACCACAGGGAGCCGAGAGGTGGTCCCTTCATGGGCTCTAGTTCTAGGGGCTTAAGTTTTAGGGAGGATGTTGAGAACTGACAGAGGTGAGAAAAGGCCAGGTCACAAAGCCAGTAGGGAACAAAGCGGAAGTCAGTTCTCCTGCTTTTTGGCCCAGCGGTCAACTGCCTGCCATGCCTTAGTCTGTGTTTCCCAACGGGACTGAGCTTGTGCCTCTGGCTTCATTCCACCTAAGAAAAATCGGAGCCAGTCTCACTGTTCAGAGAAGACCTCACTCAGCAACTATTTACTGAGCAGATCTATGGCCCAAGGGCTGTGCTAACTCACAGAGAGGGAGCCCCTTGCCATCAAGGAGCTCAGGATGCACCGAGGGAGATGGAGATGTTAGCAAACAAACTCAGTGAAGGGAACGGGACCCCTATAGACACGGGCGAGGGGATTACAGGGGAGAAGCCAGCGTAAACGGACACTTGCTGCAGGTAAACTCCAGCGCACTCATCTGGTGCAGAGAGAGCTGCGTTCGGAGTGAAGCCGGTGCTTGGCCAGGCCCCGCGAGGCAGGGGAATGGCTGTCTAGGACTTCAGAATGACTGCTGTGTGCCCTGGCCCACGTGGCCTTCTCCCACTCGCCCTCCAGCTCTCACATATGCCCTGCTCCTCCTGCCCACACGAATGCTGATCCCTCCTCCTGACTGCTCTCCCCGCCTGCCCTCTGCATGGCTAACCCTGCTCACCCTGAATGTCCTGATATAGCTGTCACTGCTCCCCAGCACACCCCTCCTCACGGCTCCATCTCAGCACGTCAGCTCTGGGGCACAGCCTGGCCATGGCTCTGTTGCCTTTTAAACCCAGAGCTCCTTGGGGGCAGTACTGCTGTTGAGTGGGGGATGGCTATGTGATGAGTAAAGACAGAGAAAAGTGAAGGAGAGGAGGAGCAAAGAAAGAAACAAGCAGAGCTAAGAACAGGTCGACAAGAAAAGGGGAAAAAAGCAAGAAAGGGCAGGACAGAAGGAGGAAACAGGAATGATGTGCTTTGCACCCCGAATCCTGACAATCTGTAGCATAGGGTGATACCAGTATCTGGTGCCCACACCCCTCAGAGGATGTGCCTGGGACACAATTATGACTTGCCTGGCCCACCCCACTCAGCCAAGGTGCAGATGGAAGGCTCACAGCACGCATTTGCTGACCTGGAACTGGAGGTACTCTGCTTGGCCGGGGGGGTGCCAGGGGCCTCATCCTGCTCCATCAGTGGGTCAATGACAGAGGGATGCTCTGGGGTGGTGGCACCACTGCCCTGGAGAGTGGAGTGGGTGCTGACAGGGTCCAGATGGGAGCTAGAGATGGAAGACAGGAAGAATAAGGAGTAGCATGTGGCCCTCAGCCTCCTGGAGTCAGCCCTTCCCCAGGGTGGCCGGGGCTGGGCTGTGCCCAGGCTCTGCACCCGGAGCCCTAAGAAGAGCAGACAGCACCTCAGGAGCCTGGACTCAGGTGATCCACGCTGCAGGATCTTCCTGTCCTCCCTGCCCCGTCTGTCCTCACCATGGAGACCCCTCCAAAGGGGCGGCCTGGGAGACACATGACACCACCGTCCCCTGTCCTCTGTTTACACATCTCATCTCCCCTTAGCTGAGCTGTGCATTACTTCAAGGCAGAGGCATGTCTTCTCCTTCTCTCATGTGCCCTGCAATCCACAGCTCATGGGCAGCCACAGGCAGTGCCTGCACATGGACAGGGGGCCAGGCCACTGAGTAAGAAGCTGGCCCACGGGGCCTCAGCTCCTGGTCACCACACACCCACACACAGGGCTTCCTCCTGCAGCCATCTGTGTCCACACCTTATTTCAGGAGCAGACATCCTCCCTGTACACATTGTTTTCCCCACACCCAAGGCTGGTCCACTCTCCTCTATGGCAGCTGCACCCTGGGCCTGCCTGAGGTGAGATACTCCTGCCACACCCATCTACTCCCACAGCTCAGGTGGCCCCCACGGAGGCCCAGCTCTCACCTGGACCGGGAGTGGCTGCTGAGCTGGTGCATGTGTGGGTTGTACTGGGCCAGGATGGTGATAGTGTCACAATTCTGCCCGATGATGAGCCGGGCCTGCTGCTCCGTGGCACTCCGCAGGTTTATGCCATTGAACTAGGAAATACCCAAAGCAGGCTCAGTGACATGGCAGGGGCTGCGGATTTAGGGAGCATTGCTTTTCTGAAGGAAGAAGAGGAGGGACAGATGGAGTGCAGAGGGAGGGCTCCACTTACCTCAAGTAACTGGTCGCCATATTCAAGGCCAGCTTGGTGAGCAATGCTCCCTCCAGTCACCTTGGAGACATAGATGCCACCCTTCTCTCCACTCACGATGGAGATGCCCAGTGGCTCCGAGCCCTTCTGCAGCTTGACATGGCGTGGCTCCTCCACATAGGGCCTTGGAAGAGAGTCAACAGTTTTGGGGACTTGAACCCAAAAGAAAGGTTTGGGGAAGGTTTGAGGTCAGGCATGCAATCAGCTATGCAGAAAGGGACAGGGAGCCCTGGCTGCCCCTGTAATGGCACAGCTGGATGGGAATATGATGGCCCCCCCTTTGTATGACAGTGGTGCACATTCCTGCAACCGCATGCAATACAAACACAACACTCCCATATGGACACAGAAGCACTCAGTCCCAAAGACACAAAGAATGTTCCATGTGATCTATAAACACTGATATGCACAGGGAAAAAGCACAGATTTTCATAATGTAAGAGGAGTTGCCTCACAATGTGCAATCTACAAACCCCATGGGGTTTCAAGGTGCCCTCAGAGGAAAAGAAAGGGCTCCTGGGAGGATGGCATTCACCCAAGAAGGGTCCATATAAAGTATCAGTTTTTATATTTACCAGTACACAGGGAGATGTCAAATGATCATGGAAATTAAGCAGCTGCAAACCCAAGCCATTAAAAAGGAAGGAGATAGGCTAGGAGCAAGGTGACAACCATGCACTTGCTGGCTCAGGGAGCGCCATCCACTATCCACTGCACCGTGGGCATGAGGGGCACAAGGGGGCTCAGGTGGGGGCCTCATGTCAGGCCAACCTCAGACTCCTCAGGGAGGAGAACCTTGGCCTGGCGGCCACAGGCAATCTCAACAGTGATCTGTGGCGGTGGAGACATCTGGAAGGTGCAAAAGGTGAGAAACAAGAGAGGACCACTCAAAGAGGAAAGACAACCACTGACTCCTGGACTGCAACAGACAGACAGACAGACAGACCGCCAAGGAACAGGGAGCTGTCCTATCAGGACAGCACTTCACACTGCCCCAAGCTCTTCCCCTCAGGACAAAAGTGCAGCCAAAGCCCAAGGGAGGAGCCAACCAGCCAGAGAACCAGCTCCTCGGGCTCCCAAGAGCACATGGGCAGGATGGGTTCACCTAGTGGACAGTGGATGGAGGGCGACCCAGAGGCCTGGCAAGGTCCCGTGCTTGGTGGGCCTCAGGCGGGGCCCCACCACTCAGGGTGCAGTCCCCTGGGCACGCTAAGACTAAACCCTTTTTGGCTTGTCCTCCTCCTCCCTGCCCTCCAAAACGTTGTCTAGGACTTCAGAATGACTGCTGTGTGCCCTGGCCCACGTGGCCTTCTCCCACTCGCCCTCCAGCTCTCACATATGCCCTGCTCCTCCTGCCCACACGAATGCTGATCCCTCCTCCTGACTGCTCTCCCCGCCTGCCCTCTGCGTGGCTAACCCTGCTCACCCTGAATGTCCTGATATAGCTGTCACTGCTCCCCAGCACACCCCTCCTCACGGCTCCATCTCAGCACGTCAGCTCTGGGGCACAGCCTGGCCATGGCTCTGTTGCCTTTTAAACCCAGAGCTCCTTGGGGGCAGTACTGCTGTTGAGTGGGGGATGGCTATGTGATGAGTAAAGACAGAGAAAAGTGAAGGAGAGGAGGAGCAAAGAAAGAAACAAGCAGAGCTAAGAACAGGTCGACAAGAAAAGGGGAAAAAAGCAAGAAAGGGCAGGACAGAAGGAGGAAACAGGAATGATGTGCTTTGCACCCCGAATCCTGACAATCTGTAGCATAGGGTGATACCAGTATCTGGTGCCCACACCCCTCAGAGGATGTGCCTGGGACACAATTATGACTTGCCTGGCCCACCCCACTCAGCCAAGGTGCAGATGGAAGGCTCACAGCACGCATTTGCTGACCTGGAACTGGAGGTACTCTGCTTGGCCGGGGGGGTGCCAGGGGCCTCATCCTGCTCCATCAGTGGGTCAATGACAGAGGGATGCTCTGGGGTGGTGGCACCACTGCCCTGGAGAGTGGAGTGGGTGCTGACAGGGTCCAGATGGGAGCTAGAGATGGAAGACAGGAAGAATAAGGAGTAGCATGTGGCCCTCAGCCTCCTGGAGTCAGCCCTTCCCCAGGGTGGCCGGGGCTGGGCTGTGCCCAGGCTCTGCACCCGGAGCCCTAAGAAGAGCAGACAGCACCTCAGGAGCCTGGACTCAGGTGATCCACGCTGCAGGATCTTCCTGTCCTCCCTGCCCCGTCTGTCCTCACCATGGAGACCCCTCCAAAGGGGCGGCCTGGGAGACACATGACACCACCGTCCCCTGTCCTCTGTTTACACATCTTATCTCCCCTTAGCTGAGCTGTGCATTACTTCAAGGCAGAGGCATGTCTTCTCCTTCTCTCATGTGCCCTGCAATCCACAGCTCATGGGCAGCCACAGGCAGTGCCTGCACATGGACAGGGGGCCAGGCCACTGAGTAAGAAGCTGGCCCACGGGGCCTCAGCTCCTGGTCACCACACACCCACACACAGGGCTTCCTCCTGCAGCCATCTGTGTCCACACCTTATTTCAGGAGCAGACATCCTCCCTGTACACATTGTTTTCCCCACACCCAAGGCTGGTCCACTCTCCTCTATGGCAGCTGCACCCTGGGCCTGCCTGAGGTGAGATGCTCCTGCCACACCCATCTACTCCCACAGCTCAGGTGGCCCCCACGGAGGCCCAGCTCTCACCTGGACCGGGAGTGGCTGCTGAGCTGGTGCATGTGTGGGTTGTACTGGGCCAGGATGGTGATAGTGTCACAATTCTGCCCGATGATGAGCCGGGCCTGCTGCTCCGTGGCACTCCGCAGGTTTATGCCATTGAACTAGGAAATACCCAAAGCAGGCTCAGTGACATGGCAGGGGCTGCGGATTTAGGGAGCATTGCTTTTCTGAAGGAAGAAGAGGAGGGACAGATGGAGTGCAGAGGGAGGGCTCCACTTACCTCAAGTAACTGGTCGCCATATTCAAGGCCAGCTTGGTGAGCAATGCTCCCTCCAGTCACCTTGGAGACATAGATGCCACCCTTCTCTCCACTCACGATGGAGATGCCCAGTGGCTCCGAGCCCTTCTGCAGCTTGACATGGCGTGGCTCCTCCACATAGGGCCTTGGAAGAGAGTCAACAGTTTTGGGGACTTGAACCCAAAAGAAAGGTTTGGGGAAGGTTTGAGGTCAGGCATGCAATCAGCTATGCAGAAAGGGACAGGGAGCCCTGGCTGCCCCTGTAATGGCACAGCTGGATGGGAATATGATGGCCCCCCCTTTGTATGACAGTGGTGCACATTCCTGCAACCGCATGCAATACAAACACAACACTCCCATATGGACACAGAAGCACTCAGTCCCAAAGACACAAAGAATGTTCCATGTGATCTATAAACACTGATATGCACAGGGAAAAAGCACAGATTTTCATAATGTAAGAGGAGTTGCCTCACAATGTGCAATCTACAAACCCCATGGGGTTTCAAGGTGCCCTCAGAGGAAAAGAAAGGGCTCCTGGGAGGATGGCATTCACCCAAGAAGGGTCCATATAAAGTATCAGTTTTTATATTTACCAGTACACAGGGAGATGTCAAATGATCATGGAAATTAAGCAGCTGCAAACCCAAGCCATTAAAAAGGAAGGAGATAGGCTAGGAGCAAGGTGACAACCATGCACTTGCTGGCTCAGGGAGCGCCATCCACCATCCACTGCACCGTGGGCATGAGGGGCACAAGGGGGTTCAGGTGGGGGCCTCATGTCAGGCCAACCTCAGACTCCTCAGGGAGGAGAACCTTGGCCTGGCGGCCACAGGCAATCTCAACAGTGATCTGTGGCGGTGGAGACATCTGGAAGGTGCAAAAGGTGAGAAACAAGAGAGGACCACTCAAAGAGGAAAGACAACCACTGACTCCTGGACTGCAACAGACAGACAGACAGACAGACCGCCAAGGAACAGGGAGCTGTCCTATCAGGACAGCACTTCACACTGCCCCAAGCTCTTCCCCTCAGGACAAAAGTGCAGCCAAAGCCCAAGGGAGGAGCCAACCAGCCAGAGAACCAGCTCCTCGGGCTCCCAAGAGCACATGGGCAGGATGGGTTCACCTAGTGGACAGTGGATGGAGGGCGACCCAGAGGCCTAGCAAGGTCCCGTGCTTGATGGGCCTCAGGCGGGGCCCCACCACTCAGGGTGCAGTCCCCTGGGCACGCTAAGACTAAACCCTTTTTGGCTTGTCCTCCTCCTCCCTGCCCTCCAAAACGCTGTCCCCTTACCAAACTCACCAGTTCTGCACTGCCATTCTTAACCCTGACCTCATATACATCGGTCCCTGGCCTGCACCCTCAGGCACTTCAAGACTTAACACATATGAGACCAGGCAGTACAGTTGTAAGAACTCTTATCGAGAAGCCACCCCACCACCGTCCTCAGACCCCCAGCCTAGGAGGGCAGCACAGAGGCCTGGAGTCGGAAGGAGGCCAGCCCACAGGTGTGGGCAGAGCTCGCCTCTCTGGTCTAGAGCTCCTCAGTCTCCATTGTTCCACCCTTTCCTCTGTTCCACCTCCAAAAATACATTTATCTCAAAAAGGAGCCAGTAACTGAATCGTAATAATAGCCATACAACAGAATCCATGAAACTTTTATGAACGATACGGTCAGGATTTACTGACATGGAAAGATGTAGAGGACATACTGAGGCATGGGAAGACAGGCCAGCATCATTCTATCTTTATAAACCTGTATACATAGTTACGTGTCTATTCATGCAAAAAGAGGTTTCCATGGAGGACCTTACCAAAATGTTAACAATGCTTTCTGAAAGAGGGCATTTGAAGTGATCCTTACTTTTTCATCTCCTGAATGATCTAAATTTCTTACAAGGTGCACAGAATAAAGCTGCTTTGTAAAAGAGGTTTATAAAATACATGTCATAAGATTACAAACAGCTTAAGGACAATGTTAAGGAGGAAGAGTTCATGTGTATAATAAAACATCCATTTAAATTATATATATCAAAAAGTTAACAGCAATTAAATCTGGCTGATGAGATTATATGTGACTTTTTCTATTTTTCTCATTTTCCCAGTTTCCTATAACAATATAGAAGTAGGAAATACCCTGATCCCATATGAATCAGGAGAAAAGGGACTATTTTCACTAGGTAACCCATTCTTCAGCCAGGCCCCACACATTACATTTGATGCACTCTTTAGGTCACAAGCACTGTGAGGGCAGGAACCTCTCCGTACACCACAGCGGCTAAGGGGATGTCTGATCATATGTGACAAGGCCCTTTCTGCTTCTAAGGAACCCACTTCATTTGGGGGAAGATCATGCTTCTCAATGACCTGTGCTGGGGATAAGTGAAAGAACCCACTAGTCACCCTCGCTGCTGCAGGCTTGAGTCCCTGTATCACGTCAGGGACGGTCATGAACATTTTTGTATGAACTGCATCTGATTCCCCTAGAGACCCACATGCACTGGTGTTTAGGAATATTTCTGTTCTCCAGTGAATACTTGCTAGGTTTGCTGTCTTACAGGTTCAGATTTTCTAACCAAATGAGGTTTTCTTAATGCAGGGCCCACCCAGCAGGTCCCTCTGTGGCTTAGAACCACAAGGGCCCTCAGCTTCCCAGACTTGAGTTGACAGGGGCAGCTCTATTCCTTTTAAAGGATTAATTAAAGACAAGTTCAAGTTTACTCAGATCTCCTGAAGACCTACAATCTAGATAGAACCTCTTAAATATAAATGTGATCTAGTATCGTCTACTGTGAAGAAACCATCAGGGGAAGAGGTGTGCACAGAGCTTTTGGCAGCTGAGATGGACTCCTTAGAGGAGGCGTGCTGTGACTAACATCAGCCTCAAGTTACCCTAAAATCTCAGCAGAGACTGGCCTGAATTTTCAAATGAACCAACAAGCAGCTAAGCTATGCACTTATGCTTTACATACTTTTTTCCATGTGCATTTCATTTCAATAAAAAGCTTGGGGCGAGGGGCGGGAGGGCAGACAGACAATGCAGCTCTGTTCTAAAGCCAAAAAGCAAAGGACAGGAATGAGTTCTGATTCCAAATAGGGTAGGCCAGTCACCAACCACGTGAGTATAGACAGATGGTGCAAATTTATCATTTTTCAGTTTTATTATCTGTAAAATGGGGCCAAATAATGCTGCTGCTACGGCTCATGGGTTACAAGGATTTCCATAACTTGTACACCAGAGTGCCTAAGTGATGCCTGGACATTGGGGAACAGTGCCCACCATCAGCATCACTGTTAGGCATCATGGCTGTAGCCCACCCCCTTCTGGGGACACTTGAGGGGCGCATACCCTGCTCCTTACTGTGCCATCTACACATGCCCTGCATCCTGGCACCCTGTGCCCAGGATTTACTAGAACTTACCCCTGAATACTAGGTGACCCAAACTAAGGCAGCTTTGCCCTGGGATCAACTCACTTGCAACTCTCCAACTCCCACTGCTTCTACCAACCCTCCCCTTCCCTCAACCAAGCCCTGGCCCACTGCAGGGATGCACCATCCACCACTGCACACTCGGCCCAGGCCGTGTTCACCTGTCCTTCCTCCACTCTCCGAGGGCTGTAGGGTTGATGGCGATCCTGGGCAACGTGGAGGCTGAGGTCTGGGACTGGCTACAAGAGGACAGGGTGTCGATGTTCAGGGGTGACTGTGGAGGTGTGCTGCATTCAGAATGTGACAACGAACCTACAGAGAGAGGTGTAGGATAACGCAGGTCACGATCTTGCATGTTAGTTCTCAGCTAGCCAAGACCGGGGGAGACACAGTCCCTGCACATGGCCTTGAATTCAGATGCTAGGCTCTGTATGGCCCTTCTACTCCTCACATCTCTAGACTTAGGGCTGGGCTCAACCAGAGTCTGATGAGTGGCTGAGATGACGAGGACAGTATAAACTATGCCCAGACACTGCACCAGAGGACAGGGTGAGGCAGCAGGTAGGGAGGGGAGTGCTAAGAAGTTCTCACCTCTGTCAGAGCCCACAACAGACCGGGGGTATCTTGGTGTCAATGGGATTTTAATGCGTTCTGTCTTGAACTGCAAGTTGCTTGAAGACCCTAGGGTTCCACAAGGCGACAAAGCTTTAGGCCTGTGGTTAAATACCATGCCTCACTCCCTCACCACCACCCTACTAGTCAGGAACGACACACATGCAAAGTGGGGCCCTGCCACTTATCCCTGAGGGGGCCTAAATGTGGAACAGCTATGAAAAGCAGATAGTTAAAGCCCAGTATTTGAATATGCTGCACAGGCCTAGACTATTCCAGAACAGGATCACACAACTCTCACTCCTCGCCCCAGAATGGAGACGGTAAGTCAAGTGACAAAGGGGACTGCTTGCCTTTTCTCCACAGCGCTGCAAGCAGTCCCACCAGAATCTCTTTATAAGTAACTAAGAGATTCTATGCTGGGGTGCGTTTAATAGAGCACTAATAGCACTACCAAATCCCCCAGGATGACCAAGCAGCTCAGGGACAAGGATAAGGCTCCTGGGCCAAGGGGTCACCTGGAATAGCCACATAACGACTAGGGAAAGCTGGAGAGATGGTGGCCAAAGGAAATGGCTGGAGTGGAGTTTGGTGGCAACCTCAGCCCCAGGAGGGCACAGGGGCCCTTGTGGGCTGGCCCCCAGGAGTTCTGGGCATGAGGATGCAGGTGGAGGTGGCCATAAGGTCGGTGGCCCACTATGAGGAGAAGGTTCCAGTGGTGCAGTACCAAGGCGGGCACTGGAGGGCAGTGAGTTGGACCCATGGGAGGCTCGCATCTCTGAGTAGTCGCTGCAGGCCCTGTGGCTCAGATCCAGGCTCAGGCGTCCCTGGTGCTGGACACTGTGAGAGAACCAGACAGTTGAGGGGCTCAGGAGGAAGACCAGGGCCAGCGACGGCTGCTAGGGAAAAATACAAGTGATGGGACTGGGCCAAGTCCGCCAAGAGCTGCAGAAGGGAGGCCCAGAAGCCACTCACTGTCAGCCAAGGACAGAGGGCTGCCCACAGCCATGCTTGCCGGTGGCATCTGCACAGAACAGAAAGGGCTACACAAGTAGAGTGGGAGAGGCATAGCCACTTCAGTCCTGGGCTGGGCTCTGAGAGGAAGGGCTTTCTACAGGGAAAAACAGGATCTGAACCCTGAGGTGGTGGCGGGTGTGGGTGGTGGTGCTGGCAGAGAGAGGCTGGATGGGCACTAAGGACACTGAAAGGGACCCATGCCCCTCACTTAGGAGAGCATGTCTAGGAAGCCAGAGGACAGAGAGCCCAGCGCTCACCAGGTCAGGCTGGCCTGTGGTCAGTTCTGGCTATGTCCTTGTGTAGCTGTGTAATGAGGCTGTCTCTTCCTTGCCTAACGCCCACTATACTCAGAACAAAACGTAAACTATATCAGCTGCAGGACCAACCTGTGCTCTCCTTCTGACTAACTCTGCCTTTGCCAAGAACCCCCACTCCTCACACCGTCCCAAGAGCCCACCACACTTTTCCGAGGTGCCTAGGCTTCGGGATCTACGGCCTCCTTCCTGGGGATGCCACCCAGGTCTTGTGCAGCTGGCCTCTTCTAAGCCTTCTGGTCACAGAATCCCACAACCACAGGGCCCTCCCCACCCCCCACCCTAACACTCCATCCTCTTCCAAGGCACAGTCTCCCTAGTCCCCCTGTTTTACAATCTTCAGAACTACTCAGCTCCATCTGGTGTCACTCTGTTCATTGCTTCTGTCTGCCTCCAATACTTGAACACAAATGTCACGTAAGAGGAAACTTGTCTGTTTAGTTCTCCATTGGGTCCTCTTGGAACTAGAACAGTCGAGAGCATATAGTACGCCCTCGATAAAAAATTATCAAATAACTGAATGAACGTGTGACCTTGAGCTAGTCCATTCAGTCTTTTAAGGCCCAGTTTTCTCATCTATAAAATGGACCCAATAATAGTCCTCAGCTTATAAGGTTGCTGGGCTGATTAAATGAGATGATGCCTAGAAAAGTCTGAGCTCAGTGCCTGACACGTGAGCACTTAAACATCAGCTGCCATCACTACCCTCCTCTGAATTCCCTTACAAGTTGCACACCAGTGAATGATGAGAGCATCCTAAAAGTTCACTCCCCCTGGGAGCCCCAAGCTGCTAACCAGCCCCTTCCCAGCTACGCAAGGAAGCTTCTCTACCCACGAGCCTCGTTATGCACCAGGGGCTTTATGTACAGGAGGGCTTGGGCAGCTGGGGTGCAGGGGGATGGGTTGGTGACTTCACATACCTGGGATGCAAACCCTGGGGGCTGACCTCTCTGGGAACAGGTGGAGAGCTGCAGGGGCCAACCCTGTGGCTACGCACGGTGTATATGGGGTTCCTCAGGATGGAGCTTACGGTGGTATTCGGGGTCATACTCCGGGGAACAGTGCCTAGAAATGGGCTGAGTGAAAACAATCGCTCCAAAGCACCCAGCCAGCCCCGGACCTGTATGAGCTATTAGCCTTTCACTATCTGTAAAATGGAAGACCTCTCTAATGTTTCCTATTTCCCAGGCTACTGTGGGGAGAAAGCACTCTGAGAAGCAAGAACTGTCACTGATACAAGACTAAACATCCCAGACAGGGCAGCAATCACTAGTTCTTTAGACCTTTGGGTGAAGGACACACAGATTCTCCTTGAAATGACTGCCTCCACTTCTACTTCTCCTCTCATTGGGCAGCTCTGTGAGCCCACATAGACCCTCCTGCCCAGTCCTGCCCAGCTGACTCACCGACAGATGCCCTGCTTGGGTAGAGTGGGAGGTTGCTGTGCCGGCCACAGTGCCCTGGTGAGTAAGGGGACCACTCCTGGAGCTCTGGGGAGAGCTCTCCACTGGCTGGGATGCACTTCTGCTCCTGCAGAACCAAAGGCAAGAGGCAGTGGCTAGAAATGCATGGGAATTTGCAAATGGTTTCTATCCCCTATGCATGAGCTCCTCCCACCTAGACACATGAAGTGACAGGAGAGGCCACTGCTCATTCATGTTGTCTTACACACCTGGGAGGGAAGAACTGCCTTCAAAAATACTCTGGAAGAAAAGAGCAGAGAAAGAATCTGCTCTTTCAAAGGAACAGAGATTATGCATGTAGAAAGTAGAACACGTGTACGCATCAGGCACATACATGCAACAGCACCTCAAAACCCACACAGGTGTGTGTAGCTCTTTGTCTGCAGAGAGGATCATGGATTTGTGCTCCAGCTCACAGCAATCTCTGCCACGTGGAAACAACTACAGCACCCTCCAGAGCAAGCCAGCCTGTCCTGCTGCCAGCTAAGATTCATGGGGGCTATCTCGGCTCCCTAAACCCTTCAAGGCAGGTCCATGTCACCTGGTTTTGTTGAACAAGCTCAAAGCTCTCTGTTGAGTAAGTAAAACAAATGCTACACCCAAGAGTGCTCCTCTCTTGGTGTCATTCCCCCGGACGTGCACACCCCACGTTACTTTTGAGTTTCCTAAGGAGGGCTGCACCCTGCTGCACCCACCCGCCTGCCCCAGCCCTTCCCTCAGGTAGGTGCCAAGAGCCAAACAGCAAAGGAGCCAAGGTAGGCATGAGCCTGGGGACGTATCAGGACAGAGAGGGGTGTTCTCCCAGTCAACTCCCCACCCCAATGCCTCCACCCCACCCCACACCCCAGGGCTGGGCTCTACCTCCAGGAACTGAGCAGGAATCACTACTGGGGCGAGCTTGGGCCGATAACTGGGAGCAGACTTAGGCCGGCGGCGCTTCTGCCCCAGCTCATCCATCTTCTGGGAGGTGAGGTCCTCATCACAGGACTTCTTGGCAGGCAGGCAGGAGGAGTCCCCGTCCCCTTCAGGGTAGTAGCTGGAAGCAATGCGGACCCTGGCCTTGCGATGGGGTGAAGCATGCATGGGCTCCCCAGGGTCCCCAGCAGGGGGCAGTACACCCGGGGGGCTGGTGGATGGGGAGCTGCCCACCAGAGTTGCCTCTGACTCCGAACTGGTTTCCAGCCTGTGTTGGAACTTAATGGAGTCGCTCCTCCTGGGAGGTTTTGGAGGTGTCAGAGGTCCAGCCCTCTTGGAGGGCTGGGGGGAGTGCACAGGCCCAGGGCCTGGGAGCAGGTAGTCTATTCTGGGGGGTGTCTGGGGACGTTTGAAAGTGTTAGGGTCAAAGATAGACTTTCTTTGCTTTGGCTTCTTGTAAACAGAGAGCTTCTCGGGCCCGGCCGTGGAGCTGAGCCCGGCCTTGGGCCAGGTCCCGCCACTGCTGGAGCTCTCGGGGTCTGCCTTATCTAGGGGGGGCTCTGGCACCCCACAGGGGCCCACCTCAGTCTCAAAAGGCAGCAGTGGTTGCCGGGTGTGCACATCCACCAGCCCGTAGCCACGCTCCCCAGAGGCATCTGAGCGGAAGGAGCTCAGACTGCGCTCAGAGGCACTGGGACAGGCCTGCGGGGAGACTGGGAAGCGTCCCCCAGGGAATGGCTTGTGCAGGAAGGAGCTGCTGCCTCCTGAGGGGCTTGGCTCCTTCCTATCCTCCAGCCTGTCTGTGTAGAAGATGTCCGTCTGCGTGGAGTTATTGTGCTGCAGCAAGTTCCGTTTATTCTGAGCCTGGACCTCTGGGCCATGGGCTCGGAAACTCAAGATCTTATCAGAGTCCTTGATGTTTTCAAAGATGTTCTGGCCACTCCATGAGGAGCTCTGAGGGAACACCTAAGCAGGGATTGCAGGGCAGTGAGAAAGAGAGTGGGCAGGACCACAGACCCTGGTGCTGCCACTGGATGTGCCCCTGCGGTACAGTGATGGTCAGGAGTGGGCCCCATGGACACCCCAGAAGAGAGGCAAATGCACACACATGCATGCACGTGCACACAGGCACACTCTCCTTGACAGCTGAGGTTTTCCCACAGCCTTGGCCGCTGTGAACCCACAAGAGAGCCATTAAGTTCTCTTGACTTTGAGCACTTTCTGAAATCACCTGCACAATGCCCTGTATATTTTCTTAAACTATCACATAAAAAAGTAAAGATCCATTATCAAAACTACCTATCTTGAGTACATTCACATAACGGAGTATTATTCAGCAATAAGTAGAAACAAGTCACCAATCCACTGATAAAAAGACATGGAGGAACTTTAAACGCACAGTGGTAAGTGAAAAGAGGTAGGTCTGAAAAGGCTACATCCTGTCTGATTCCAGCTTTAAGACATTCTGGAAAAGCAAAACTACAGAGACAGTAAAAATATCAGTGGTTGCCAGGGACTGGGAGGAGAGTGAAGCACGAGGATCTTAGGGCAGGGAAACTGTTCTGTGCGACACTGTAATGGTCGGCACATGTCATTATGAATGTATACAAAGCCACAGAACAAACAACACCAAGAGTGAATCCCCATGTAAACTATGGACTTCAGGTAACAGTAATATTTAATGTTGGCTCATTAGTTACAGTTACAACCAGTGACTAACACAAGATGCTAATAACAGGGAAGCAGAGTGGGGGAAGATGAGAACTTTTTTGTAAACCTAAACTTGCTCCTCAAAAGAGTGTCTTAATTTTAAATTAATTAATTTTTTTAAATGTGTCTTAATGAAGTAGGTATACCTATTTTTTCCAACCTTCTATTATAAACCTTTTCAACAGTGCAGGAAGAGTTACAGAAAAGTGCAGTGAACACCCATAAAACCACTGTTTATATTCAACCATAGTTTACCACATTGTCTGTTCCTATCACTATCACAGAAAATATGAAAGTTTCAAATAATACATTTCACCCCTAACAACTTTATCCTGTACTTCCCCCAAATAAGCCCATTCTCCTATATAACACTAAAACCATCACTACACCCAGAAAAATCAACAGTCTCCCAAGATCATCTAATTATTCAGTCTAGATTCAAATATACCCCACTGCCCCTGAAATGTCCTTCACAGCTATCTCATTTATCCTTGTTTTTAAACCAGGGTCCAGTCAGGGTTCACACACACTCTGAACTGTATAAACCAATGCTCTCTTTCCAAGGATCTCAGTGACACATGGATAAATAGTTCAGGTCCTGGAGAGGAGGCTTCCTCACCCTGCAGATGCTAAGAGCAGGGCCAGTGCGGGAAGGGGCCCTTACCTTCAGGAGGGAGAGGGTCAGGGAGTCCTGGCAGCTACGCAGCAGAGATTCACACTCATTCAGAGACTTGTTGTCCAGTGCAATTCCATTGATCTAGGGCCGAACAGAAGGCCTATCAGACCCACCATGAGGACAGGGGCTCTGCGCCTGCCAGCTGAGACCGTAAGGGGTCTAAGTCTGGAGCTGGCAAAGGAGAGAAAGTCCCCCGTCCCCACCCTCCGGTAAGGCTGGAGGAATCCAGTTAAAGGGCTTCTATTGCAATGAAACACACAGCCTTAAAAATCACTCCTGGCGTAAGATTCCTCAAGGGAGGAACAACCTAAGACAGGCACAGTCGCAGGGGGGCCATCAGGTGAGAAATTGGGGATCAACAGAGGTGAGGCTTAGAACCTCACCCCCCCTTGTTTTGAGAGAAATCTTCTGCATCCGTGGATGTTTTATTGCCCCTGTCTAGCTTGGATTAACACATAGTCTACAGGCACACACCTGATCATCTACATTTGCTCTCTTACAACACTAAACTATGTTTTCTACCTTTACTTGCATCTACCTACCACTTCAGCATTTTATTAAAAATAATAATAATAATAAAGGGAGAAATGTGGGATTCACATATAACTGAAGTATAAAAATCAAACGAATATTCATATTTGACCTGATTGTTTATAGTTCATAATGAGTGATCAAAACCGAAAGTTTTTGTGATGACTGCCCTTGTACTGTTCACCATATAAGAACTTATTCACTATGTAAGAATTTGTTCACCATGTAAGAACTTGTTCGTTATGCTTCAGAAGATTGGAGACTGACGAGAATTAGGCTGGGGGTGGATTAATGATTGTGCATTGAGCATTGACTCCTCTATACAGAATTTTATTGTTGTTAACAACCATTCGATCAATAAATATGAGAGATGCCCTCTCAAAAAAAAAAAAAAAATCACTCCTGGCGCTTGTTGGACTGGTACCAGAACACCAAAGTTCCCGGGGGAACAAGCCAGCCCAGCCCTGCCGCTTCCTGCCATGTGATGCTGGACCCATGGCTCAGAACTTCCTCACCCACAAAACAGAAGATGAACACGTGTACACTCCCCAGAGTGGGGAGGAGGCTGAAATCGAGACAATGGTATGAAAGGCCTCTGCCGCTGGAAAGTACCACGTGAGAGGAATCATCTTTACCGCCCATGGTTCTCACAACCCCCATGCCTGAATCTCTGCCACATCTCTCTCAGATGTGCTCCCATCTTTTTAAAAAGTGCATGTGCAGTAGGTGAATGGTTAGACTGTCATACCATGGACTGTGACCAGGCAATGAGAAGGGACACATATCAGTACACCCAGCCACATGATGGGTCTCAGGGCACCAAGCTGTTTGGAAAAGCCAATCCCAAAAGGTCACATACTGCGTGACTCTACTTATATAATATTCTCGAGATAACAAAATTACAGAGCTAGAGAACTAGGCAGTGGCCAGGGGTTATTAATGACAGGGAGCCAGTTGTGGGTGTTACTATAAAGGGATAACACATGGGAGATCTGTGTGATCGGGGGGACAGTTCTAAGTCTGGGTATTCTTTTTTGGTTACCTAAAATGTGATAAATGACAAGGAGCTATACACATATACACTGCCTACCAGCTGCCTGGTTTTAATAAAACAGTTACCTAAGACATAGCCATGAGGGGAAACTGGGTGAAGGGTACACAAGGCCTTCCTGTACTATCTTTCCAACTTTATTTTTAATGTTATAACTGAATTATAATTATTTCTGTAATTCTTTCAAATTCAAAAGTTAAAAAATATGTATAGCATGATTATTTTGGACTCCTGAATTAACTTGTTCTTTTCCTTTATAACTTCTCCACATTTAAAATTTTTCACAATGGACATAATGCTTTTAAATTCTGGAGCCCCCCACCCAAAATCCAAAAACCGCTGGGAAAGATATGAAGCAATGAGCATCCCCGCATATTGCAGATGCGATTGAAAAAGCGAGGACCTCTTTTGGCCATAACGAGGAAGATCCTATCAATATTAAATGGCTATGCTCACTGATCTGGCATGTCCCCCAGCCCAGTAATTCACCCCATGGCACAGTCCCAGGGGACCCCATGGAGGGATGCAGCAGTAGCCATGCAGCATCACTCGTAAAGGCAAAGACACCCTGACTATCCATCAGGGAGACTGGTTAACAGCTTGGGCTGCTGGCACAAAGGAGCATGCAGCTACTGAAATGACCTACACAGATTTAAGGATGCAAATACAGAAGAACCCCCAGGGTACCCAGTTAAAAACAAAAAGCAAGATGAGCAGCTGAGTATATTATAATCCCACCTGGGTTTAAAAAAAAAAGGGATATATACATATTTTGAACATTTCTGGAAGAAAGCACCATAAATTGTTAAAATGGTTGCCATCAGGGTGGGAACTAGCAGATGGGGATCTAGACCCAGAGAAGGATTAGTCACAGTGTCTTTTGCATGACAGGAATTCAGTGTTTATGCTGTGAAAAAGTGTATGACTTCAATTTTTATAAGTTGGTGAGAAGTAGTAAATGACCACACCCTAAGACTCGCAATCTCACACCTTCTCGGGGGTTTGGTCACCACGGATGCCGTTAGGTGTCCCCAAATGGCTGTGCACACAGGTGGAGTTCATGGCAGGGCTGTTAGCAACTGGAGAAACTGAAAATCATTTATGTCCACCAACAAGGACAGGATTTAAAGTATAGATAATCAAACAACAGAACACCATGAGGTGGATAAAAATGAGCATCGACTTGGAAAGATATCCACAATGTAGAATGCAAATTATAAAATAACATAGGATGATTCCATTATTGTATTTTTAAACAAGCAAAACCCAGAGACCTATAACTGTGTAAACAGATTTCTATGAGCACTTATGGTCTGTCTGGGGGCTCATCTTCCAAGTGAGCCACTTCTGTCTTAGAAATAAAGATATTTAAAAAGAAACCGATATAATGTTTAGTAAAAAAGGTTTTTAAAAAATCACATACAGACACATCTTTTTTTAAAAATTGATCTAAATATACATTCATGTGTAGAATAAAGGCTGTAGAAAAACACACAATGTTAATAAAGATTACTTATAGGTGGTAGCAGTAAGAAAGATTCTTATTTCCTTCCTAAACTTTTTCTGCATTTCCTGATTTTCTACAGAATATAGAAACACCATCAGAGAAAAACAATCATGTTTCAATGTTCACATTAGAAGAACAAGGTGAATATAAAAACTCTGCTCATTACTTTTGTTCAAGCCTCCCAAACGCAATTTGTCTACGTGCAGCAGACAGCCCTGGCTCTGACCCTGAGACTTACCGCCACAATCCTGTCCCCCACGATGAGGGATCCTTCTTTGGCGGCCGGGCTTCCAGGCGCCACAGCTGCAGCATACACTCCGTTCTCCAGACTGATGCCGCTGTCTGCGAACCACAGAGCAGACCAGAGTCCCAGTGATCCCCTGTCCGGATCACAAGGCCCTCCTCCTGTGAGATAAACTTATAAAGGGGGTGTTGGCACACCTGTCCATTCCAGCACCCACCCAGGTCAGACCAGCCACGGGCTCAGTCACGTCTGCTTTAGTGAATCAAACAGAGACAAGCACAACCCAGGGCCAGATGGCCCCCTGCCAGGGAGGCACAAGCATTGCATTTAAGTGGCATCCCTAGGAATGAGAGGCGCCTGAAAACACAGGTGTCCCCTCTGCATCAGCAGGGGGCACTCTGCCCACTTTCTACCACCGCTACCTTTCTGTCCACTCAGGTTGATGTGCAGCGGCGTGACCACCTTCCCGCCCAGGGACTTCCTCCGCCGTACCACCATGTTGATGGCCCCTTCCCCATTGAGGAGAGCCTTGATGGCCTGCTTCTTGTCCTTGTTGATGAGGTCCACGTCGTTGATTCTTAGCAGCCAGTCATTGACCCTGAGGAAGTACACAGCCAGGTCAACACCCATGAAGGCCTCAGGACTGACCAGTGGGAGGCTCCACCCATCTCATTTGGGGAGACAAAGGCCAAAAAGCAACTACCCCACATACACATTCAAAAAGATTCCCTCGTCCAGGAGGGTTAAATGGCTAAACTCACAGATGCTGGAGCCAGACTGTCTGGGTTCAAATCCTGGCTCTACCACTTACTAGCCATGTGACCTAGCCCCTCTGGGCGTCAGTGTCCTTATCTGTAAAATGAGGGCAATAATAGCACTTACCTCACAGGAGTGTAAAGATTAATGAATTAATTATAAAAGTGCTCAAACCAGTACTTAAGTAGTAAGCACTCTTTACTATCTATTTCCTGGCATGAGCACGCAGTGCACACTCTATGCTCCCACACACAGCGCCTAAGCCCTTTCCTACCCAGGAAAGCACACGGTAGCACAAGGTGATGAGAAAGATCAGATTCTGAGGCAGCTGTGCAACTGTGTCCTTTAACCCTGTCAGCGGTTGAGCCTGCAGGCCTTAGTGAGTCCCTCAGACCCTGGGGTGCATTCATTTAACTGCCACCTGGCTCTCCAGGAACTTAGCCCTGGGTCAGAGGGTCCCAACCTCCCTCCAGAGCCTGAGTCTCAATTCTTACCGTAAACGGCCGTCAGCAATGCTTCCTTTGTCCACTTTAGTGACGAATATGCCACAGTCCCCCGGCAGACACGGCTCATTCACACCTTCTGCCATATCGAACCCAAGGGCCTTCAGGTCAACATCCTCCTGCCAAAGCAGCAATGGCAGCTGGCTTTACAAAGCAGTGACAGGCAATACACGGCTCTCAAACTCCATTGGGGAACTTCTGACGGGGCACTCGGCCCCTGGATGACACCCGTGAGCAGCTGCAATCGGCCCCTTCGGGGCACTGCAGAACATGACCCTGCCAGTGTCACCCTGGTTGCTGTGCTCCTCCCTCTGCCTTCCATGCACCGTGACAGCATTCACTGCAGGGCATGCAGGACACCAACTTGCTGTGACCCCACTTCCACAGCATAGGGTAAGGATGCATTTGCACCCGGGCAGGAAAAGCCTAACATCCAAACTAGCAGCTATGAAACCAGGGACACTTCAAGAGGGCCGTCCTCTCCCTCCCCGATCCGAAGTCTTCTTGTCAGGAAAGCAGGGTAAAAAGACATTAAGGTAGCTTACTGTTTCTCTTTCAAACTCTACAACTTCGGTTTCCCACTCCATGGAATCTGTGTCAATGGCCGAGTCATGGGAGCTGTGGGCCATCAGCTGTCGGAACCGGGCCTCCTTCTCCAACTGGGATTCCATCTGCTCCCTGTAAAAAGAGAGAGCCACGGCAATGGCCCTCTGGGAGGCGGAACATCCCCCCCAAGTTACAGCTTGGAAACCAGGTGAACCACTTATGAAAGCTAAATGGGGCTCTTTCCCCCTCGAAATGCATGCCACCTTCCCAATAAATCAGGAACATTAGGTTGAGGCTTCTTGGATCTCAGTGGGTTTTCACAATAGGTTTTTTCAAGGAGACTCGGAAATTCTTCCCAAATTTATCCAGAGGTTTAATGCAATTCCTATGGAAATGCCAGCAAAATTTTTTGTAGATGCAGACAGGACTATTCTAAAATTCACAGGGAAAGGCAAAGGGTTTAGAATAGCTAAATCAATTTTGAAAATGAAATGTGAGGAACTCCACTACTTGATTTTAAGACTTTTTATACATTTACAATAACCAAGACAGTGTGGAACTTTCAGGAAGATAGACACATAGGCCAATGGAACAGAAGAAAGGACCCAGAAATAGCCCAACAAAGTACAAAAAGTACAAAAGTGTTCAAGAGAAGAAAGACAGTCTTCAGCTAATCATGCTGGAACAGTAGATAATCCATGGCAAAAAAATGAATTTCAACCTAAACACCATACCTTATCTGAAAATTAACTCAAAATGTATCACAAATTTAAATATAAAACTATAAAACTATAACTTTTAGAAGAAAAATACAGGAGAAAATCTTTGAGATCTAGGGCTAGGTTTAAGTTTTTAGACATAACATAATCCATGAAAAATTTAAAATAAATCAATAAATTGGACATCATCAAAATAAAACAATGTAAGCTCTCAGAAAAAAACAATTAAGAACATTAAAAAAAAAACTCAGAAAACTGGTATGATCCCCCAGTGACTTGCATGTAACACCCTTCTTCCAAAACCTGGGCCCAAATGACATTTCCAATTCATCAGCACTGCACAGTGTGGGCTCCTGGCACACTCACTCTGTTTCCGGCTCAAATGGTCATGCTCCCAGGTGCACACCTTCGATTGGGGGGCTGTGTTCTTACTGGCCAGCTCTCAGGCTCCAGGCAGAGCTCTAAGGCCACCAACCTGGGACAGCAGCCCCAGCCCCAGCTACCCTGTGCCGCCTGAAGCTCTGTATTTAATGCTCACCACACTTGTCTCATTTCTCACCCACTAGGACATGTCTATTGCTTCTGCAGACTAGGGGCTTCCTGGGCAGCAGCATGGACTCCCCTCACCAGCACCGTGCAAACACAAATGGGCTAAATGAATCTGAAATCTGACTTTCCTAGAAGTTCCAGGCCATTCTACCTCAATTAAAATGCAAAACCTCCTCTCCCATGGTCAAGCCCCCCAAGGGCCCAGGCTTTACCTTAATTTGATTCCATCACTTGCTAGACCCAAGGTGAGTCCTTGGAGAGTTTGCCACTTTGCCTCTTAACTCCTGAGATTTTCTTTAAAGCACAAGCCCCAGCGGTTCTGGGTTTTTGTTTAATGAGGGAAGCTATTTGTCTTATGTCTGATGTTATTGAATGGGGAGGAAGGAGAAGCCATCACTTGTTTCTGAAAAGTGTCAGTCAAGCAACTGAGGCTTGCACATTCACACGCAAGAGCTTCTCATTGCCCACCCCAGCTTACTTGAGCTCCTTAAGCTCCCGGCTAACATCGTTCTTCTGTTTGCGAGTGTCGTCCAGGCTGCGCAGGGCCTCAGCCAACTCGCTCACTGCACGGTCCCGCTCCCGTCTTAGGTTGTCACAGAGTGTCCTGGCAGTGGGGGCAAAGAGCAAGGTCACCATGAGGGTTGGCAATGGAGGATTCACGACCTGCAGTATATGGTCCTGGAGACCCTGCTCTCAAACACCCCAGGTGCCTGCCTCACCCCCAGATGCACAGGAGTGCTTGAGAGTCTGGGGGTGAGACCACCCAGACGAACCCTATCGAGGGTCAGAGGGGACACTGAAGACCCAGGAGAAGAGAAACCCTCCACATCCAGTTACTGGGCAATGAGCATTGGGTTCCCAACAACCAGCACCCATCCCAATGCTTTACACTTACTGTGTCTATAGTTAATGACCACCCGCCTGCCAGGTCCCTGAGCTCCTGTAGCTACCACATGCCTCCTAACTACCCACATGCAGGCCTTTCTGGAGCTGTACCCCATTCCACAAGTAGACTGAGCCCCCATTCAGGCAGGAATCACGGCTCACACGCTTGCAGCCCTGAGCTCTCTGCAGGGGCAAGTGCAGGCTTGACAACTTCACTAAAGATGGGAGCTTCTGGGAGCCCAGGACCACCTCAGCCATTCAGAGAAGAGGTGGGGATAGGCAGCCTGGCAGCAGAGCAGTCTGTGCCCTGTGCTACCTCCAGGACTGCATCCTGTCACTGGATGGACCGACCCCAAGGGCTGGTCCCCACCTCTCCATGACCCCAAATCTGTCTCCTATTCCGAACCCTCAACTTCTGACAGCCTAAGTGGACATCAATCTCTCCTCCAAATGGCCACAAGGGATCTTTCAGAAACTCTCCTCATCCAAGTCCTTACCTAGCACCAGAACCACATGGCCTCTCCTTGCTCCACCCCAGTCAACCATCAAGGTCCCCTTCGGGGCTTCCCTTTCAAGGCCCTCACAACCTGCCCTCAGGACCCTGTCAGCCGCCTCACCTGTGGCTCCCCAGTGCAAGACTTGCTCCAGGTGTGCCCACGCTCCTGCCTTGCCCTCAGCGACCCACACACTTTTGCTCATGAGGCTCCCTCAGGCTGCAGCCTGTCCCCCTTCTCCACCTGCAAGTGTTCCACTCCTGCTTAAGTTCTAGCTTAATGCCACACTTTCTGGGGAGCCCTTCCCACCAGGCATGCCCCCATCACAGCTCTGACTGTGGCCCTAGAATTCACCATTCATGAATCTCCCTCCCATACTGCTCTAGCTGATGAAGCTGCCTGAGGCCCCCACAGTGCCAACCCTTCACAGGCATCACACATGCCCGGGAGCCTGGGAAGTTGTTTCTCTCCTTGTTCAAGGGGTCCTAAGATCCTGACATATAGCAGGTACCCAATTAACACTGACTGAAAGAAAGCATTTCTGACGTCAGTTCCATCAGAAGCCCCCTAAGAAAAAAGCCTGGCCTTGTGCCACTTCACAGGGCACAGTGCATGCTCGGATGACCAGCATGAAGTGAAAGGGGAAAAAAACACATTATGGAAAAATCTAACGCTGTAAGGCGAGGCTGGGGTTCGCCTGTTGGCTGAGAAGGGGGAACTAGGTCACTCCCACCTTAGCTGGACATGTGGCAAGTGATTCCAACCCTCCCCACAGACCCAGTGCATCACAGGGAGACCTGAGCTCATGCCAGCCTGGAAAAATCCCATACCGGATGCTGTCCCGCTCGGCCACGATCTTGTCCCGCTCCTGGAAGGCCCAGTCCCGCCGGCACTTGGCTACATCCGCCTCCTGGAGGGCTTCCTTCAGCTCCTGGCACAGAGCCTTGCACTGCTTTCGAAGGATTTCAGCCTCCTTATTGGCTCTCCCGGCATCCATTGTCACTGTGTCTTTGATCTGCTGGGGGTGAGGGGCAAGCAGAGGGCGAAATTACTAGGCCTTTTGGCCCTAAAGTGCTCCCCGACCAGTGCAGGGCTGCGGCTGAACTCTCAGGAGCTGGAAGGAAGGAAACTCTGTAACCCCAGCTATAGCCCACCCCAACACACACAGCAGTGCCTGCACCCGGGGACTACATGCCCTCTGATGCACTCAGACCCTAGTGACACTAGGTGAAGGTCCAGCCCAAACCTTCCTGGCCCTGCATGGAGCCTGGATCAGAGCCCCAGCCCCTCCTCAGCCACGGTCTCAGGGGCCCAGATGAATGCCTCTTCTGGAGTGCTTGTTCCAGGCTCCACCCAGCCACTGCATGGTTTTTATGTCACAGAGAACCTACCACACCTCTCTAAAGAGCTCTCGTGACAAAACATGACACCAGGCCCAACTGCAGTGAAGGGTGCAGATGCTGGTCATAGTAATTCCCAACCCTCTGTCTCTGCACTGCTGTTTTTATACTCTGGCATACTCAGTTTTTTTATTTTTATTTTTTATGTGATCCTTTCTTGACTGTAGCTAAAACAATTTTTAATCACAGAACTTCTGAAAATCATGTCATTGTTTTTATCATACTTATTGGAAGGTGATTAGTATTTTTCAAATCAAAAGATTGCATTTTTTCCTTTTCCATACTCTTTGGTTGAAAAAAATTTGTCTCTGCTAATGAAGTAAGCAGATATCGATTTTATATGCTTTTGAGCTGTGTAACTAACATTGGGATAATTAGTTATTAGCTTGACTATGTAACTGATAAAATGGCAATATGTATGAATATTAATTCAACAATATATTTATAATGTCTGGGAATATGTGGCTATAATTGTGCAGGAGAAAATAATTTGGCAATGTTTGCTAGCTTGCAAAAACCTAGTGCAAGAGCTTACCTATCTAAGTGTATAGTGAAATGAAAAGAGCATTTGGACTGACCTTAGCTTCTGGCCCTGAGACAGAGTGTGGATATGTGGATTGCAGGCCCCTATCCCATGGAGAGCCCCTAAATCTCACAAGGTGACTGGCTGGAACAATGACATAAAGCCTAGGAGTGCCCAGCACTGCAAGGACTCAATAAGGTCATTAATATATTCTATTTTTACTGTTATCATTATCATTATAATGATTGCTGACAGAGCCATCCATGGAGACACCAGGACAGAATAAGGCAAAATAACTTAGAAAGCAAAAATGGAGCTACAGGAGATAATGAGGCAACACAGCAAAGGAGGAGGCAAACAGAACCCTTTCTGGAAAATGAACCCCAAAAGCAGTATGGAACAGCAAGAGCAGGGGGACAGTTCTTTCAGGAGCTAACTCAGAGACCATGCCAGAATCTGTGGTGGACACATCTTTCTGCATCAGCTTCCTCACTGATAAACTGCAAGAATGTTACCTAGCAGTGAGGAGGTTACATTAGTCAATGTCTGTAATAAATCATGGCACACAGTAGGTCCTAAAAAGACATACTTTTGTTCTTGCTTCTCCCTTACTAAGTTATTTTTACATCTGAAAAACACCAGTATTTTTGCTGCTGAAGTTCTATGTATTTCAGTTTGTTTAAAAAGCTGACATCTGTACTATGAAAAACTGTATGCTAACAAATTGGATAACCTAGAAGAAAATGGACAACTTTCTAGAAAAATACAACCTTCCAAGACTGACCCAGGAAGAAACACAAAATATGAACAGACCAATTAACAGCAATGAAATTAAATCAGTAATCAAAAAAACCTAAGAACAAAATCCCTGGACCAGATGGCTTCACAACTGAATTTTATCAAACATTCAGAGAAGACCTAATACCCAACCTCCTTAAACTTTTCCAAAAAGTAGAAAAGGAGGGAATACTTCCAAACTCATTCTATGAGGCCAACATCACTCTAATACCAAAACCAGGCAAAGACACCACACACACAAAAAAAACTACAGACCAATATCCCTGATGAACACAGATGCAAAAATACTCAACAAAATATTAGCGAACTGAATTCAAAAGTACATTAACAGGATCATATACCATGATCAAGTGGGATTCATCCCAGGGATGCAAGGATGGTACAACATTTGAAAAACCATCAACATCATCCACCACATCAATAAAAAGGACAAAAAACACATGATCAGAGGATCACGGGAAGATGGCAGCACGAGTAGTTCAGTGGAAATCTCCTCCCAAAAACATATATATTTATGAAAGTACAATAAATACAACTATTCCTAAAAGAGACACCAGTGCATACAGTACAACAGACAGGATATATCTACATCTGCAAGAACTCAACATCAAACGAAGGGGGTAAGATACAAGCTGCAGCCAGGCGGGATCCGAACACTCCCCCACCCCAGAACCCAGCGGGAAGAAAGGAGTCAGAACAGGGAGGGAGTGAAAGCCCAGGACTGCTAAACAACAAGCTCTAGAAATCCACACCCGGAACGCAGACACAAGGTGCATGGGGTGCTGGATATTAGAGAAATGGAAAAGCAAAACCTGTGGGCAGGTCCACGCAACCGGTGCCCCTGAGACAAAAGAAATGTGAGTGCTTTTTGCAAGTCTTAAAGAGACAGGGATACCAAAGCTGGACAAAGTCATCCTGGCACACTTAGCCAGCAGCTGGGAATCCCGGAGAACTTCAGGCGCCCTAACCCCCTGGGTGGCAGCACAGCTCTGAAGCCCCTCACGGCACTAAGCAGCCTGCCAGTTGTTCCCCCAATGGCATGGACCCTGACACAATGGCCCAGTATTGGGAGAGTGGCAGCGCACACTGGGGTCAGCAGCGCTGGATGGGACCGGGAGCAGCCCATGTGCACCGGGGCACTAGGGGGAACAGGAGCAGCTCGTGCAAGCCAGCCACAGCAACCAAGCATCCCAGGAGTCGCCCGTGCACGCAGGCAGCAGTGATGCCAAAGGAGCCCGGGAGAGGTCCACGCATGCCAGCAGCAGCGGCGACTGAGCGGCCCATGGGTGCCAATGGCAGCAGTGCCAGGGGGGCACGGGAGAGGTATACACACACCTACAGCGGTGCCAGAGGGAGCAGCTGCGCTCCCAGCAGCAGACCGGAATCGCAGCCTGATGCACAGTCGCGTGGGCCAGACCCAAAGGCCGCTGCTGGCACACAGCTGCCCGGCAGGGGCACCGCTATCACAGAGGAGCACACCTGGCATGCCTGCCACTCTCCGCAGGGCTCCGCGCTGCTCTGACAGAGACCCCACTCACAGCAGCTTAGGGGATTAACCCGGTTGCTGCTCCAGGAGTGCGGGTAACCGACACAGGCAGCGGAGAAGGGCAAGGCATCCAGCAAGCAGGAAAGGACTTTCTTCTCCCAGCTGACACACCCACAACCTGCCTACAGCCACCGCTATCACCATGAAAAGGCAAAAAAATTTAGTCCAATCCAAAATAGTTCAGAAAACCCCTGCGAGAGGATCTGCAGAGACAGACCTAACCAGTCTCCCTGAACAAGGATTCAAAATAAAAATCATAAACATGCTGACAGAGCTGCAGAGAAATATACAAGAGCTAAGGGATGACGTCCAGAGGGAGATTACAGAAATAAAACAATCTCTAGAAGGATTTATAAGCAGAATGGATAAGATGCAAGAGGCCATTGATGGAATAGAAACCAGAGAACAGGAATGCATAGAAGCTGATGCAGAGAGAGATAAAAGGATCTCCAGGAATGAAACAATATTAAGAGAACTGTGTGACCAATCCAAAAGGAACAATATCCACATTATAGG